GGTCCAGGGGTCCCGTCTTCAGGTAGGCTTCTGGGTCTTCGGCTTGAGGCGAACTGAGCTCCGCCGCTCTGGGGGCCCGGGTTTTATGGGGCTCCCAGGGTCACCCCGCCCCTGGTCACGCCCACCATCTGGAACCTTCTTTGAGGGACCTGGATTGTTGCGCAATCCTCCCCAGCCCCTCCCCACCCGGGGCCCTGGGGTGTCCCCCTAATGCCTGACCCACGAGTCCTGATTGGCACAGGGCTGGACTCGCTATTGCCCCTGACTGTAATCCCCTGTCAGGTGGCAGCGTATTACGCCCAACAATTACCCACCACAGTAAACACATTCCTGCGGAGGGAGCTGGTAGCAACGTTGGGTTGCTCGGTCAATTGCCAGGGTCAACGGCGGCACCACCACGTGGTGTATTCCGCAAATATGGCCGACTGTGAGGGCGGGCACAAGCCGGCGTGAGTAGGTTAAACGTTGAGTTTTATAAGGGCACCACGGGGTGACCAGCTCCTCCCCACCCAGCCCCACCCCTCCCACCCCCCACACCAGCCCCACCCTCCCCACCCAGCCCCTCCCCACCCTCCCCACTCAGCCCCTCCCCGCCCAGCCCCTCCCCACCCTCCCCTCTCCACCCAGCCCCTCCCCACCCGTTTTTGGATGCACGACGGACGGACAGACACAATAATCCCCTGTGGGCTGGTGGTGTAACCAGGAGGTTGCTACCAGTATCAATCGGCATTTTGCGACCCCCACTGCCACTGTGTAGCATATGAACCAACACCCAGTGACGATTATCTGAACCGGTCCGTGGCCTCCCCGAGGTCGACTCAGCCTCAAATGAGTACCTGGAGCGGTGTGTAAACATCGCCACTGGGGAGACAAAGGCGGGCGGGCGTGGTGCTGGCCACCCACCCCCTCACGTACGATTCCGGGCCTTCGTCAGTAGCTCGCTAACATTCCCTTGCCCCAACAGTCTGTTAAAGTTAAACGATATCAAAGCAAATTAAGGGCGGGCATGCAAGTACAGCTACTGTGTTTCGTCAAACCTACGTATTTATTAACATAAAAACTATTTTTACTATTGAGAACCAAACGGGTGCAAGGCTGTGGTAAATGTTATGAACCACTGGTGTACAGCATGATACAGGAGTTGGGGTACACTCTGTTAATCGACTTGTGTGCGTTGTGTGTAGAGTAGGATACAGGAGTTGGGGTACACTCTGTAAATCGACTTGTGTGTACGTTGTGTGTAGAGTAAGATACAGGAGTTGGGGTACACTCTGTTAATCGACTTGTGTGCGTTGTGTGTAGAGTAGGATACAGGAGTTGGGGTACACTCTGTTAATCGACTTGCGTGCGTTGTGTGTAGAGTAGGATACAGGATTTGGGGTACACTCTGTTAATCGACTTGTGTGCGTTGTGTGTGCGTGTAGAGTAGGATGCAGGAGTTGGGGTACACTCTGTTAATCGACTTGTGTGTGCGTTGTGTGTAGAGTAGGATACAGGAGTTGGGGTACACTCTGTTAATCGCCGGGACTTGTGTGCGTTGTGTGTGCGTGTAGAGTAGGATACAGGAGTTGGGGTACACTCTGTAAATCGACTTGTGTGTGCGTGTAGAGTAGGATACAGGAGTTGGGGTACACTCTGTTAATCGACTTGTGTGTGCGTGGTGTGTAGAGTAGGATACAGGAGTTGGGGTACACTCTGTTAATCGACTTGTGTGTGCGTGTAGAGTAGGATACAGGAGTTGGGGTACACTCTGTTAATCGACTTGTGTGCGTTGTGTGTAGAGTAGGATACAGGAGTTGGGGTACACTCTGTTAATCGACTTGTGTGCGTTGTGTGTAGAGTAGGATACAGGAGTTGGGGTACACTCTGTTAATCGACTTGTGTGTGCGTTGTGTGTAGAGTAGGATACAGGAGTTGGGGTACACTCTGTTAATCGACTTGTGTGTGCGTGTAGAGTAGGATACAGGAGTTGGGGTACACTCTGTTAATCGACTTGCGTGCGTTGTGTGTAGAGTAGGATACAGGAGTTGGGGTACACTCTGTTAATCGACTTGTGTGCGTTGTGTGTACAGCATGATACAGGAGTTGGGGTACATTCTGTGAATCGCCGGGACTTGTATGCGTTGTGTGTGCGTGTAGAGTAGGATGCAGGAGTTGGGGTACACTCTGTAAATCGCCGGGACTTGTGTGCGTTGTGTGTGCGTGTAGAGTAGGATGCAGGAGTTGGGGTACACTCTGTAAATCGCCGGGACTTGTGTGCGTTGTGTGTGCGTGTAGAGTAGGATGCAGGAGTTGGGGTACACTCTGTTAATCGACTTGTGTGCGTTGTGTGTACAGCATGATACAGGAGTTGGGGTACATTCTGTTAATCGCCGGGACTTGTGTGCGTTGTGTGTGCGTGTAGAGTAGGATGCAGGAGTTGGGGTACACTCTGTAAATCGACTTGTGTGTGCGTGTAGAGTAGGATACAGGAGTTGGGGTACACTCTGTAAATCGACTTGTGTGTGCGTGTAGAGTAGGATACAGGAGTTGGGGTACACTCTGTAAAGCGACTTGACTGGTGAATGCAGGCTGGCACTGACCACCGTTGTGAGTCGCCGCGGTTGACCTGCTGGCCCGCAAGCCAGTTTCCTAACGGCGCAGATAAAACCCCTGATATAAATGGTTTCTCCGGTTGGCCTTCTAAGGTCCCTTATCCAAAGCCGTGCCAGTTTCGTGCACCGCTGTACCTACCCTTCTGCACAATTCCACCAGATGTCAGTGTAGGCCCACTTGCAGCCATCCGAATGCGGACCCCGGGTTCCACAGAAACGACGCTGGGTCTAACGAAACGCGGACCAGTCGGGGAATTGTCAACAGGGCCTGGACATGTGGCAACCCTGCTAAGGCCATTAATCCTCGAGGCAATTTAAAAAAGCGATCGTCGTCCGCCCAATGGCTCGGCTCAGCATGCCCCACTGTGTAAAAATAAAAAAAAGCATTGCCCCAAATCCGAACGATTCTGGTTCAAGTTGCCCCCTAGTGGGCAATCGGGGTTGGCAACATCAAATCAAGCTCAAGTCAAATAGTGTTTAATATTTTTTTCTTATTTTATTATTTCCCTTCTACGTGGTGACTTTACCGAACGAACCAAGAAGATGAATCCCTGCAGTCACGAAAGCTTTAAATCGAAATCGTGACCAGTAACTAGGCCTACACCATCACTGATCAACGTGTTAATTTTAAGCCTGTAGACCAATCTCAAAGTTACAGTTTGGTGGTTTAACATCTTAACACAACTGTTTTTTTTTATTGCCAGAAAGGGTTAAACAGCTTCTTTATATTTTGATGCTGGCAAGGGAGGTCCCTTGATGTAGCCGCTCACCCCGAGCTCTCAATGTTCCTGATAGTGGCATTGTCTTTGTGCTGTTCGCCTTTTGGCGCTGTCCTCTGGCCTAACGCTCTTTGAGACGAGGCTCTAAAGAAAGCCGTCTCTGGTGTGGACCAATCAGTTTCAAAGGCAATGCAACATCATACACTACCAGAGCATGTTTTATTTGTTTTGTTTGCATGTACACCACAAGTACATGTGGTTAATGCAGACATTATTGCTTGAAAAAGGTTTATGTTTGGTGTTTTAACATCTTAACGCCGCCTGTAGTGTTGCCAGAAAGGGTTAAACCAATTGTTATATTAGACCAATCCTCGATTGCAATTGGTTAGAGCGAACTCTTTCACTCAATTCAATAAACTATTGAACGATGAACATTACTTTTTATTTGACCAGGTAAGGCCCACTTACCTGGCCATCACAAATGATATTTCGACGGAGTGGCTTGTCTTGTGGAAATTTATAGCAGCTGCCAAAGACTCTGAACGCGTTGTGATGTTGTTTTATTCTAAATGTGGAGGGGGAAAAAACCGAAGAACCGGAGAAAAATTCACGCGACCATGGGCAGAGAGACGCCGCAAACTCCAAATATACAGCAGGCCTCAGGGTCGAGATGGAACCCACGACCTCCAGGCGAGAGAGTTAATAATACGACCCTGGTGGGTGAGTGAGTAGCTGGGTGAGTGAGTGGGTGGCTGGGTGAGTGAGTGGCTGGGTGAGTGAGTGGGTGGCTGGGTGAGTGAGTGGGTGGCTGGGTGAGTGAGTGGCTGGGTGAGTGAGTGGGTGGCTGGGTGAGTGAGTGGCTGGGTGAGTGAGTGGCTGGGTGAGTTAGTGAGTGGGTGGCTGGGTGAGTGGCTGGGTGAGTGAGTGGGTGGCTGGGTGAGTGAGTGGGTGGGTGGCTGGGTGAGTGAGTGGCTGGGTGAGTGGGTGGGTGGCTGGGTGAGTGGGTGGCTGGGTGAGTGAGTGGGTGGCTGGGTGAGTGAGTGGCTGGGTGAGTGAGTGAGTGGGTGGCTGGGTGAGTGAGTGGCTGGGTGAGTGAGTGGGTGAGTGAGTGGGTGGCTGGGTGAGTGAGTGGCTGGGTGAGTGAGTGGGTGAGTGAGTGGGTGGCTGGATGAGTGAGTGAGTGGATGGCTGGGTGAGTGGGTGAGTGAGTGGGTGGCTGGGTGAGTGAGTGGGTGAGTGAGTGGGTGGCTGGGTGAGTAAGTTGGCCCTACGCACAGTGCTGACTGTGGCCTATTGGGTAATACGGCCCTGGCCGGCGACGATTGCTGCCCGGGCCCCCTCGTGATGGACCGCGCGTTGCCTCCAGGCCGCCCGCGCTGTGCGTTTCGAAATCGCGCGGCACGGAGGAGAAGAAGACGAAGTGGGGCGGTGGTGGTGGTGGGGGGGCAGAAAAATACAACGTTGCAACCGTGAAAAATACCAATGGACGTTTATTATGACATTGTTTTAAATATTTGCATTCGATAACAAAATTCAAAAGAGAGAAGACGGCGGGGGGGGGGGTGGTGGTGGTGGTCCTGCAAGGGGCCCCGAATCTTCACCGCTATAGACGGAGCCACGAGGGCGTTTGCCGCCCTTCGCACTCGCGGCTTCACCCTCCGGGCACCGCTACCGCTGGGCGCCAGCTATGGCCCGGTCCCAGCAGCAGCAGCGGCAAACAGCATTGGGGACGCGCGTGGCCAGCAGCAAAGCAGTTGGGTGTTTAGGTGAACGTGTACACGAGACATGTAAAGCAGTGAGACTCGACGCGTGGACGTGCTGGCCGGCTGTTGTCTAGTGGGGGTCTCCCTGGTTCTAGTGGGGGTCTCCCTGGTTCTAGTGGGGGTGTCCCTGGTTCTAGTTGGGAGTGTCTCTGGTTCTAGTGGGAGTGTCTCTGGTTCTCGTGGGGGTGTCTCTGGTTCTAGTGGGGGTGTCCCTGGTTCTAGTGGGGGGGTCCCTGGTTCTAGTTGGGAGTGTCTCTGGTTCTAGTGGGAGTGTCTCTGGTTCTCGTGGGGGTGTCTCTGGTTCTAGTGGGGGTGTCCCTGGTTCTAGTGGGGGTGTCCCTGGTTCTAGTGGTGGGAGTGTCCCTGGTTCTAGTGGGAGTGTCCCTGGTTCTAGTGGGGGTGTCTCTGGTTCTAGTGGGGGTGTCTCTGGTTCTAGTGGGAGTGTCCCTGGTTCTAGTTGGGGTGTCTCTGGTTCTAGTGGGGGTGTCTCTGGTTCTAGTGGGGGTGTCTCTGGTTCTAGTTGGGGTGTCTCTGGTTCTAGTGGGAGTGTCCCTGGTTCTAGTGGGGGTGTCCCTGGTTCTAGTGGGGGTGTCCCTGGATCTAGTGGGGGTGTCTCTGGTTCTAGTGGGGGTGTCTCTGGTTCTAGTGGGGGTGTCTCTGGTTCTAGTTGGGGTGTCTCTGGTTCTAGTGGGGGTGTCTCTGGTTCTAGCGGGGGTGTCCCTGGTTCTAGTGGGGGTGTCCCTGGTTCTAGTGGGGGTGTCTCTGGTTCTAGTGGGGGTGTCCCTGGTTCTAGTGGGGGTGTCTCTGGTTCTAGTGGGGGTGTCCCTGGTTCTAGTGGGAGTGTCTCTGGTTCTAGTGGGAGTGTCCCTGGTTCTAGTGGGGGTGTCCCTGGTTCTAGTGGGGGTGTCTCTGGTTCTAGTGGGGGTGTCTCTGGTTCTAGTGGGGGTGTCCCTGGTTCTAGTGGGGGTGTCCCTGGATCTAGTGGGGGTCTCCCTGGTTCTAGTGGGGGTCTCCCTGGTTCTAGTGGGGGTGTCTCTGGTTCTAGTGGGGGTGTCCCTGGATCTAGTGGGGGTCTCCCTGGTTCTAGTGGGGGTGTCTCTGGTTCTAGCGGGGGTGTCCCTGGTTCTAGCGGGGGTGTCTCTGGTTCTAGCGGGGGTGTCCCTGGTTCTAGTGGGAGTGTCCCTGGTTCTAGTGGGGGTCTCGCTGGTTCTAGTGGGGGTGTCTCTGGTTCTAGTGGGGGTGTCTCTGGTTCTAGTGGGGGTGTCTCTGGTTCTAGTGGGGGTGTCTCTGGTTCTAGTGGGGGTCTCGCTGGTTCTAGTGGGGGTCTCGCTGGTTCTAGTGGGGGTGTCCCTGGTTCTAGTGGGGGTGTCCCTGGTTCTAGTGGGGGTGTCCCTGGTTCTAGTGGGGGTGTCCCTGGTTCTAGCGGGGGTGTCCCTGATTCTAGTGGGGGTGTCTCTGGTTCTAGTGGGGGTGTCCCTGGTTCTAGCGGGGGTGGCCCACCCCCTGGTTCTAGTGGGGGTGTCCCTGGTTCTAGTGGTGGGGGTGTTCCTGGTTCTAGTGGGGGTGTCTCTGGTTCTAGTGGGAGTGTCCCTGGTTCTAGTGGGGGTGTCCCTGGATCTAGTGGGGGTGTCCCTGGTTCTAGTGGGGGTGTCTCTGGTTCTAGTGGGGGTGTCCCTGGTTCTAGCGGGGGTGTCCCTAGTTCTAGCGGGGGTGTCCCTGGTTCTAGCGGGGGTGTCCCTGGTTCTAGCGGGGGTGTCCCTGGTTCTACTGGGAGTGTCTCTGGTTCTCGTGGGGGTGTCCCTGGTTCTAGTGGGGGTGTCCCTGGTTCTAGCGGGGGTGTCCCTGGTTCTAGTGGGGGTGTCCCTGGTTCTAGTGCGGGTGTCCCTGGTTCTAGCGGGGGTGTCCCTGGTTCTAGCGGGGGTGTCCCTGGTTCTAGTGGGAGTGTCTCTGGTTCTCGTGGGGGTGTCCCTGGTTCTAGTGGGGGTGTCCCTGGTTCTAGCGGGGGTGTCCCTGGTTCTAGTGGGGGTGTCCCTGGGTCTAGTGGGGGTGTCCCTGGTTCTAATGGGGGTGTCTCTGGTTCTAGTGGGGGTGTCCCGGGTTCTAGTGGGGGTGTCCCTGGTTCTAGTGGGGGTGTCCCTGGTTCTAGTGGGGGTGTACCTGGTTCTAGTGGGGGTGTCCCTGGTTCTAGTGGGGGTGTACCTGGTTCTAGTGGGGGTGTCCCTGGTTCTAGTGGGGGTGTCCCTGGTTCTAGTGGGGGTGTCCCTGGTTCTAGTGGGGGTATACCTGGTTCTAGTGGGGGTGTCTCTCGTTCTAGTGGGGGTGTCCCTGGTTCTAGTGGGGGTGTCCCTGGTTCTAGTGGGGGTGTCTCTGGTTCTAGTGGGGGTGTCCCTGGATCTAGTGGGGGTGTCTCTAGTTCTAGTGGGGGTATCCCTGGTTGTAGTGGGGGTGTCCCTGGCTCTAGCCCATGGGGGTGTAGCCCAGCAGAGGCAGCTTGAAGCGTCACAGCGGTCCATGCAGTAACGTATGTACACTTCTTTGGCTTCCCTCATTAAAGACAATAACACACCGCACTGGACATTGCGTCTACGTGTTTTCTACGCAAGAATCGCCATTCTTACACTCCAGAAACCGGCAGCGCCCCCCCCCCCCCGCCCCATTTCAAGTGTAAAAAATAAAAACCCTCTTTAGTTTCTTGGATTTTTCTCCAGCCTCTGCTTTATATATATCAAAAAATAAAAAGTCGGGACTACGACGGGCGTAGTCGGGCTGTCTGGTGGGAACGTCCCGGCCTCCGAAGCCCTCCCGTCCCCGCCGAGGGCCCACCACGTGCTCTGGCGCTGCCATCCCGGCCACGGGGCCCTGCCGTGTGGCCCTCCCTCGATGACCGCCGGAAGCCACCCGGCAGCTGCCTCTCCCGCGTCGCCCGCCTGGCTCCCCCCGGCGAACCGGGGAGTGGGCACTGCGGCAAGCGGCCGTTGGGAGTGAAGCGGTTTTTGTTGTTGTTTTTGTTGTTGTTTTTGTTGTTGTTGTTAAGCCGCTGTGGAGGATTGTAGCCGTGCCATCGCTGCACTTGGTTCGTTTTGGCTCGCGTCAATTGTTGGGTGGCCCCCCAGCCCCCCCCACCCCTCCGCGCTGCCGGTTTAGAGTATTTGTCTGCAATGAATTTCCACGCGGTGATGATGCCAAGTGGGCCACGGAGGTCTCTTCCGATAGAGAGCTACGTAGCTCAGTGGGCACGTGCCTGCTAACAACTAAAGAATATTCGTTTACATTCTTAGCTCTTTCGGTAAAGTCACGCAGAAGGGAAACAATAAAATAATAAAATATATATATAAAACAATAAAAATTCTCACGACGTTTCGACCGTTTGTCTTATGGTCGAAACGTAGTGAATTTTTTATTGTTTTATATATATTTTATTATTTTATTGTTTCCCTTCAACGTGACTTTACCGAAAGAGCTAAGAATATGAATTACTGCAGTCACGAAAGCTTTAAATCAAAATATTCGTTTAGTCTCGCACTTGCACCTGAGACTGCCCCCCCCAGGCCCCCATCTCGGTAAACGTGGCAACGTTTGTCTGTCCAAATTTCCCGAGGGGGCGGGGGCGGGGGGGGGAGCACGTGGTTGGCCCTGCAACGCTTTCCACGTTTGCCGGGGCTGCGTCTCCGTCGTGAGCAACGTTGCCCGGTTCAATGAAATCGGCTCGGCTTGCGTGGATGACCCGGCAAAACCGGGCGACCCCGGCGAACCCGGCGAACCCGGTGATCCCGGCAAACCCAGCAAACCCGGCGAACCGGGCGAATCAGGCGAACCGGGCGACCCCAGTGAACCCGGTGAACCCCGTGAACCCGGCGAACCCGGCGAACCCGGCGAACCCGGCGAACCCGGCCAACCGGGCGAATCAGGCAAACCCGGCGAACCCGGTGAACCCCGTGAACCCGACGAACCCGGCGAACCGGGCGAACCCGGCGAACCCGGCCAACCCGGCCAACCCGGCCAACCCGGCCAACCCGGTGAACCCGGTGAACCCGACGAACCCGGCGAACCGGGTGAACCCGGCACGCGCTCAAGCGTCCCGAGCCCTTGGCGAGCACCCGACGGTCACGCGCATGCCGCGTGCCACGTGCCGCGTGCCGCGTGCCACGTGCCGCGTGCCGCGTGCCACGTGCCACGTGCCACGTGCCGCGTGCCGACACAATCGAAGCCCCCCCCCTCCACCTCCCCCCATGCTTACCGACTACTCTACGTCACACGCTACAACAAGCCGGTAACGAAGGGAAATACACTCGCTAACTAACGAGAGAACGCAAAACGTGAACACACCCTTACAAGTATAAGATTAGCAATGAACCACAATACGTATGGATACAAGGGGGGGGGGGGAGATACACATAACCAACGGTGGTGGTGGTGGTGGGCGGACCGCGGCCTCTGAACGGAGCGATGATGGGAGAAGGGTGAGTGACGCGAGTCCAGCTCGGAGAGGAGGAGGACGAGGAGGACGAGGAGGAGGAGGATGAGGAGGATGAGGAGGAGGATGAGGAGGAGGATGAGGAGGACGAGGATGAGGAGGAGGAGGACGAGGAGGAGGACGAGGAGGAGGACGAGGAGGAGGAGGACGAGGAGGATGAGGAGGAGGACGAGGAGGATGAGGAGGAGGACGAGGAGGACGAGGAGGAGGAGGAGGAAGGACGAGGGACGGAGGAGACACCTCGAGCGGAGACACGCCACAGACGCGCTGCCATCCCGTGACCCACGTGGTCACTCTCCCCACCGCCCGCAGCAATGCGCACAGCCCTGGTCCTCCGGTTCTCGGCCTGCGGGATCGGCCTCCCCGGCCGCCAACGGGAGCACCCCGAGTGCGGGATTTCTAGGAGATTGATCTTCCTTTGACGCAAACGTCTTGCATGGGGGGGGGGGGGCGGGGGGGGGGCACTCGCTGAACCGTGGCGGGGGGGGGGGGCACCGAACGGGCCGAGTCGCGTAAAAAGACGATCGGGCGGACGGCAGACGCTGCGAGACCCAGGCGGGAAGACGGAACGCGCCTTGGGGCGTCAGCGACGCGGTGGAAGCTGTGGAGCGAGCCTGACCCTCCAACCCCCTCCAACCCCCTCCAACCCCCTCCAACCCCCTCCAACCCCCTCCAACCCCCTCCAACCCCCTCCAACCCCCTCCAACCCCCTCCAACCCCCTCCAACCCCAACGCTGCCTCCCATTTAATTTAATTCACGGTCACGGTTCGTGATTTCGTTAGGTTCGCAACCGGTGGCGAGATGTTAATCACCTCGCCTGGTACGCAGGAGGTTTGTGGGTTTTGGTTAGGTCGAGATGTTATTCACCTCGCCTGGTATGCAGGAGGTTTGGGTGTTTGGGTTAGGTCTAGATGTTAATCACCTCCCCTTAGTATGCAGGAGGTTTGTGGGTTTGGGTTAGGGCGAGATGTTAATCACCTCGTCTGGTATGCAGGAGGTTTGTGGGTTTGGGTTAGGTCTAGATGTTAATCACCTCCCCTTGGTATGCAGGAGGTTTGTGGGTTTGGGTTAGGGCGAGATGTTAATCACCTCGCCTGGTACGCAGGAGGTTTGTGGGTTTGGGTTAGGTCGAGATGTTAATCACCTCGCCTGGTATGCAGGAGGTTTGTGGATTTTACCCTCCACATTTAGAATCTACGTCACGCGTTTATAGTATCCGCCAGCTGCCGTACATTTACACGCGATGACGGACAGGCCGCTTTGTTGAGATATCATCGGTGGCCAGCTCTCACTTCTGTAAAAAAAAAAAGAGCGCACATAGCTCGGTGGGCCTTGCAACCTGGTGAAATGAATTTGTTTAAAAAGAGTGAGTCGCAAAAAATCGAGCCATTGTCGGTGCTACGCTAATATGAGCCACCGTGCCGGCTGCGTCGTGACTCAATATACCCGACGGTATTTTGCATTTGGCGATCGGAGGACATAATCTGATCGACCGGTAATTATAAAAATAGATTCACGAGAGCGGTCAGGTTTATTTTTGTCGACAGCTGACGACGCCGGGTGCAGGCGTCTCCGGCGCGGAGCGCCGTTCCAACAAAATCATTTTGCCCGTGCTTCGAGAGCGTTTATTTTTATTTTTTTTATTCCGCTGGAGAACCCAAACCGTGACCGGACTTAGATCTGATCTGCTCTGTCGCCCGGGGTGGTGGAGGGGCTGTGGGTAAAGTAAATAAAATAAAAAAAATACATTGTACCCACCAAATGATCTAAAACCCCCTTGGACAGAAACCAACGATTAACCGTGGCTCTTTCGATTTGTTGGGTGTCGCCGCGGGGGCCAAACCCGTGGGCCCAAGGTCTGCAGGCCGTGAGAGATGCCCCCCCCCCAACCCCCCCCCACCTTGGACCAGGGCCCTCTGCGCGTCCCCTCGCGATGAGGACCTTGCGACGCTGTGGAACACCGCCAGTGGCGTTAGCAGCTCCTCACCCCCTGCCCGTATCGCCGCCATCATCATCATCACCATCAATATCATTATTGTCATTATTATTTAAAGAGGACGTGAATCTCTCGTACTGGGGGGGGGGGGGGGGGGGTGGGGGGGGAGGGGGTGGGGGGGGGGCGATGGGTTCCCGGTAGGCGAGAAAGCCGTGGGGGGCTCACTGAGCCCCCCCCGAGCGCTGCACTCGATTGAGCGAGAGTTTGAAGTCGTGAGGCCGAACCTTCATCTCCGCAAAGTCCACCGAGTGCTCGTGGCCCTTCCAGTGGTACCAGTTCACACCCTGAGACACGCGCACACGCACACACACACACGTGCACACACACACACACACGTGCACACACGCACACACACGTGCACACACACACACGTACACACACACACGTGCACACACACACGTGCACACACACACACACGCACACACACACACGTGCACACGCACACACACGTGCACACACACACACACGTGTACACACACACACGTGTACACGCACACACACACACGTGTACACGCACACACGCACACACACACACGTGCACACACACGCGCGCGCACGCACACACGTGCGCACACACAAATACACGCGTGAGTGACCACGTCTGCCTGCTGCCATACAAAGGTCCCCCGTGTAGCCTGTAACAGAATGTTGGGCCAAGTGCCATTCCCGAGCACCTATGAAGGCCGGCACGGCACACGAGGGGCTGGGTGGCAAGCATCACTCCCGGCCGCCTTTGTCTCCCTCGTGGCGATGTTAACACACCGCACCAGGTACTCATTTGCGGCTGAGTCGACCTAGGAGAGGCCCAGGACCGATTCAGATAATCGCCACCGACGGTGGCCGTGAGCGGGAATCGAACTCGGGTCGCCGGGTTGGTAGCGCAGCGTGGCGCTAACCGCTACACCACCGCTCCCCACCGTACACACAAAGACAAAGATCCCCCGTGTAGACTTAACAGCCTGTCGGGGGGCAAGTGCTGTTAGCGAGCACCTACACACAAAGATAAAGATCCCCCGTGTAGCCTTAACAGACTGTCGGGGCAAGTGCTGTTAGCGAGCACCTACACACAAAGACAAAGATCCCCCGTGTAGCCTGTAACAGACTGTCGAGGCAAGTGCTGTTAAGCGAGCGCCACCTGTGAAGGCCGGCACGGCACACGAGGGGGTGGGTGGTCAGCACCACGCCCGGCCGCCTTTGTCTCCCCCCAGTGGCGATGTTTACTGCTCCACACCGCACCAGGTAACTCATTTGAGGCTGAGTCGACCTGCGGCGTTCGTGGTGTGGTGGCAGTGTGGTTATGGCGTGGTGGTGAGGTGCGGTGATGGTGTTGGGGTGTGGTGACTGTGGTGGCGGTGACATTGTGGTGTGCTGTTAGGGTGTATTGGTGGTTCTTCTTTAATGCAGAAAGAACATCCAGGCGGTCAAGCAGCAGCTGAGCAGTGGATCATCGCTGCGAAGACGGTGACCTGGGTTCGATTCCCGCTCGGCGGTCATCGCCAGTGGCGGTTATCCGAATCGGTCCTGAACCTCCCCTAGGTCGACTCGGCCTTAAACGGGTTCTTGTACCTGGTGCGGTGTGTAAGCGTGGTGTTGGTCACCCACCCCCTCGTGTGCCGTGCCGGCCTTCATAGGTGCTACTCACTAACAGCACTTGCCCCTACAGTCTGTTACAGGCTATACGGGGGGGGGGGTCTTCGTTTTTGTCTTTGCTGGCAGTGTGGTGGTGGTGGTGACGGTGTGGTTGAAGGTGGTGGTGGTGGTGACGGTGTGGTTGAAGGTGGTGGTGGTGGTGGTGACGGTGTGGTTGAAGGTGGTGGTGATGGTGACGGTGTGGTTGAAGGTGGTGGTAGTGGTGGTGACGGTGTGGTTGAAGGTGGTGGTAGTGGTGGTGACGGTGTGGTTGAAGGTGGTGGTGGTGGTGGTGGTGACGGTGTGGTTGGAGGTTGTGGAGGGGGGTGTGATGGAGGTTGTGGAGGCGGTGGTGGTGGAGGTGTGGTGGGAGCGGTGGTGGCGGTGTGGTTGGAGGTGGTGGTGTCGGTGGTGGCGGTGTAGTTGGAGGTGGTGGCGGCGGTGGTGGCGGTGTAGTTGAAGGTGGTGGCGGCGGTGGTGGCGGTGTAGTTGGAGGTGGTGGCGGCGGTGGTGGCGGTGTGGTTGGAGGTGGTGGTGTCGGTGGTGGTGGTGGGGGTGTGGTGGCAGCGGTGGTGGCAGCGGCGGTGGTGGCGGTGCAGTTGGAGGTGGTGGCGGCGGCGGTGGTGGCGGTGCAGTTGGAGGCGGTGGGGATGTAGCGGGCACCTGGCTGTGACTGTTGTCACCGTAGCGCCCGTTGAGGTTGGCGCGGTGGCAATTCTTGTACCACCAGGCGCCCTTGTAGGAGACGGCGCAGTTGGTGATGGCGATGTCGTTGTCACGGTCGTGCGTCGAGAAGGGGCGGCCCTGGTGGTACGTCATGGAGTCGCCTGGCCGGGGCGGACACAGCGGGGGGGGGGGGGGGGTCAGGACACAGACACGAGGGGGAGAGAGGGGGGCACAGACACGGGGTGGAGGGGGGGGGGGCCCGCTGTGCGTGCACCACAGCGGCGGCGGCCTCACCGGCTGTGCCGGCGTACTGTCCCACGCGGATCTTGTAGAGGCCTCCCGGCTCGCCCACGGAGAAGCTGTCGTAGGTGGCGAAGACGGCCTCAGAGCCGCTGCGCAGGTCCACGCGTAGCTCGTAGCGGCCCTGGGACGTCAGCGCGTGCACGTCACGCAGCCCTGCAGGGGGGGGAGGGGGGGGGGAGGAGAGGGGGGGAGGGGGGGGGAGGGGGGAGGAGGAGGGGGGAGAGGGGAGGGGGGAGGAGGGGGGGGAGGAGGGGGGAGGAGGAGGGGGGAGGAGGAGGGGGGAGGAGAGGGAGGAGGAGGGGGGAGGAGAGGGAGGAGGAGGGGGGAGGAGAGGGAGGAGGAGGGGGGAGGAGAGGGAGGAGGAGGGGGGAGGAGGAGGGGGGGGGGGAGGAGGAGGGGGGAGGGAGGAGGCAGCATGATGGAGGGGATCACTCACCACCCAGTCCACACGTCACTCCCTCTCCCCATCCACACATTCTGTCCATCTCTACACCACCCCCCACCCCCCCCCCCGTTACACTCCTCGCCCCACCACTCCACCCCCCACTCCACCCCCCAACCCTCCCTCCCCAACCCTCACCCCCCGTCCCACCCCATGCCCCCCCCCCCCGCGTACCGAACCAGAACTCGTCCGTGAGTTCCCCGAATCCCTTCTCGTACTCCTTCCACCCACGCATGAAGTTGGTCTTGCCGTTCTGTCTCCTCTGCAGCACCTGCTCCCCACGGCACGCACACACAGCACAGCGGCGGTGTGTGCGTGTGTGTTACAGCGTGTGTGTGTGTTACAGCGTGTGTGTGTGTGTGTTACAGCGTGTGCGTGTGTGTTACAGCGTGTGTGTGTGTGTGTTACAGCGTGTGTGTTACAGCATGTGTTACAGCGTGTGTGTGTTACAGCGTGTGTGTGTTTGTCACACACAATGTGTGTGTGTATGTTACAGCGTGCGTGTGTGTGTGTTACAGCATGTGTGTGTTACAGCGTGTGTGTGTTACAGCGTGTGTGTGTTACAGCGTGTGTGTTACAGCGTGTGTGTGTCTGTCACACACAATGTGTGTGTGTGTGTGTTACAGCGTGTGTGTGTGTGTGTCACACACAATGTGTGTGTGTGTTCCAGCGTGTCGGTACGCACGATCCATCCGCCGCCGTCGGTCTCCATGTCACAGTAGACCTACAGCGTGTGTGTGTTACAGCGTGTGTGTGTCACACAATGTGTGTGTGTGTTACAGCGTGTGTGTGTGTGTGTGTTACACACAATGTGTGTGATCGTGTGTGTCGGTACGCACGATCCATCTGCCCCCGTCGGTCTCCATGTCACAGTAGACCTACAGCGTGTGTGTGTGTCACACACAATGTGTGTGTGTTACAGCGTGTGTGTGTTACAGCGTGTGTGTGTGTGTCACACACAATGTGTGTGTGTTACAGCGTGTGTGTGTGTGTTCCAGCGTGTGTGTCGGTACGCACGATCCATCCGCCGCCGTCGGTCTCCATGTCACAGTAGACCTGCAGCGGCCGTGCGTTACAGCGTGTGTGTGTTACAGCGTGTGTGTGTTACAGCGTGTGTGTGTGTGTGTCACACACACAATGTGTGTGTGTAACACACACATTGTGTGTGCTACACACAATGTGTGTGATCGTGTGTGTCGGTACGCACGATCCATCCGCCGCCGTCGGTCTCCATGTCACAGTAGACCTGCAGCGGCCGTGCGGGGTCCCCGGCCAGGTAGACGGTGGTCACGCCGCTGGCACGCTGGCCGTCGAGCAGCGCCTCGGCACAGTCGCGCGGGTTGGCGTGGCGACGTCCGGCTGCGGTTTCGCCGGACAGACAGAGGCAAGAGACAAAGGCGCCGGCCGGTGTAGCCTCGGCAGACTGCCGGCGGCGAGCGGCGGGCGCCCGCGAAGGGACGCCGAGTGGACAACACCGCCTGCCCGCCCACCCCGCCCGCCCGGCCTTTGTCGCCCTCGTGGCAATGTTTTATTGACACGTCGCACAGGGTACTCATTTGAGGCCGAGTCGACCTAAGGGGGGGAAGGCCCCGTGGCCCCGAGCGGCAATTGAACTCGGGCCGCGCCGCTCGCCTCCCATACAACGACCGTTAGCGCCACAGGGCGAGCGGGTGTCTCGGTGATCGTGGGGCTCGGTGATTGGGTGTCTCGGTGATCGTGGGGCTCGGTGATCGGGCGTCTCGGTGATCGTGGGGCTCGGTGATCGGGCGTCTCGGTGATCGTGGGGCTCGGTGATCGTGGGGCTCGGTGATCGTGGGGCTCGGTGATCGGGCGTCTCGGTGATCGTGGGGCTCGGTGATTGGGTGTCTCGGTGATCGGGCGTCTCGGTGATCGTGGGGCTCGGTGATCGTGGGGCTCGGTGATCGTGGGGCTCGGTGATCGTGGGGCTCGGTGATCGTGGAGCTCGGTGATCGTGGGGCTCGGTGATCATGTGTCTCGGTGATCGGGTGTCTCGGTGATCGTGGAGCTCAGTGATCGGGTGTCTCGGTGATCGTGGAGCTTGGTGATCGTGGGGCTCAGTGATCGGGTGTCTCGGTGATCGGGTGTCTCGGTGATCATGCGTCTCGGTGATCATGCGTCTCGGTGATCGGGCGTCTCGGTGATCATGCGTCTCGGTGATCGGGTGTCTCGGTGATCGTGGGGCTCGGTGATCGTGGGTCTCGGCGATCGTGCGTCTCGGCGAGCGAGCGAGCGGCCGCACCGGCCTAAGCGGTTTGACCGTGCGGCGCGTCGTGGCCGGGCGAGTGGCGGCACCGGCGGTCTCCGCGAACCCACCGGTGGTGAAGTCGGTCTCCACGGTGAGGCTGCGCACCGTCCCACGCACCGCGTACAGGCGCACCGCGTAGCGCGTCTTCGTCAGCAGCGCGGAGATGCGCGCAGTCGACGCCCCTCCCTCCACCTCCACCGTCTGCGCGCCGCGCACGCACAGGCAAAGGTCCCCCGTGTAGCCTCAGCGGAACGTTTCGGGGGGGCGGGGGTCTGTGGTAGGCCTCGGGCCTTTGTCCGCCCCCCCCCGCCCCCCCCCCCCGTGGCGATGATTACACTACTCGCAGTCTCATCAACCTTAGCGGGGTCTTAGAGTCGTGCGGCGGTTGAGTGGGTGAGCGGTTGAACAAATGAGTGGTTGAGTGAGCGGTCGAGTGAGCTATTGAGTGAGTGAGCGGTTGAGCGAGTGGTTGAGCGGTTGAGCAAGTAAGTGGTTCAGTGAGTGAGCGGTTGAGCGAGTAAGTGAGCGGTTGAGCGAGTAATTGGTTCAGTGAGTGAGCGGTTGAGCGAGTAAGTGAGCGGTTGAGCGAATAAGTCGTTCAGTGAGTGAGCGGTTGAGCGAGTAAGTGAGCGGTTGAGTGAGTAAGTGGTTCAGTGAGTGAGCGGTTGAATGAGTGAGTGGTTGAGCGGTTGAACGAGTGAGCGGTTGAACGAGTGAGTGAGCGGTTGAGCGAGTAAGTGGTTCAGTGAGTGAGCGGTTGAGCGAGTAAGTGAGCGGTTGAGCGAGTAAGTCGTTCAGTGAGTGAGCGGTTGAGCGAGTAAGTGAGCGGTTGAGTGAGTAAGTGGTTCAGTGAGTGAGCGGTTGAATGAGTGAGTGGTTGAGCAGTTGAACGAGTGAGCGGTTGAACGAGTGAGTGAGCGGTTGAGCGAGTAAGTGGTTCAGCGAGTGAGCGGTTGAGTGAGTGAGTGGTTGAGTGAGTGAGTGAGCGGTTGAGCAAGTAAGTGGTTCAGCGAGTGAGCGGTTGAGTGAGTGAGTGGTTGAGCGAGCAAGCGGTTGAGCAAGTGAGCGGTGGAGCAAGCAGTTGAGTGAGTCAGTGAGCGGTTGAGCGAGCGAGCGGTTGAGTGAGCAAGCGGTTGAGTGAGCAAGCGGTTGAGTGAGCGAGTGAGTGAGTGGTTGAGCGAGCAAGCGGTTGAGCAAGTGAGCGGTGGAGCAAGCAGTTGAGTGAGTCAGTGAGCGGTTGAGCGAGCAAGCGGTTGAGTGAGTCAGTGAGCGGTTGAGCGAGTGAGCGGTGGAGCGAGCGAGCGGTTGAGCGAGTCAGTGAGTGGTTGAGCGAGTGAGCGGTGGAGCGAGCAGTGGAGCAAGCAGTTGAGTGAGTCAGTGAGCGGTTGAGCGAGCAAGCGGTTGAGTGAGTCAGTGAGCGGTTGAGCGAGTGAGCGGTGGAGCGAGCGAGCGGTTGAGTGAGTCAGTGAGTGGTTGAGCGAGTGAGCGGTGGAGCGAGCGGTGGAGCGAGTGAGCGGTGGAGCAAGCAGTTGAGTGAGTCAGTGAGCGGTTGAGCGAGCAAGCGGTTGAGTGAGTCAGTGAGTGGTTGAGCGAGTGAGCGGTGGAGCGAGCGAGCGGTTGAGTGAGTCAGTGAGTGGTTGAGCGAGTGAGCGGTGGAGCGAGTGAGTGGTGGAGCAAGCAGTTGAGTGAGTCAGCGAGCGGTTGAGCGAGCGGTTGAGTGAGTCAGTGAGTGGTTGAGCGAGTGAGCGGTGGAGCGAGCGGTGGAGCAAGCAGTTGAGTGAGTCAGCGAGCGGTTGAGCGAGCGGTTGAGTGAGTCAGTGAGTGGTTGAGCGAGTGAGCGGTGGAGCGAGCGAGCGGTTGAGTGAGTCAGTGAGTGGTTGAGCGAGTGAGCGGTGGAGCGAGTGAGTGGTGGAGCAAGCAGTTGAGTGAGTCAGCGAGCGGTTGAGCGAGCGGTTGAGTGAGTCAGTGAGTGGTTGAGCGAGTGAGCGGTGGAGCGAGCGGTGGAGCAAGCAGTTGAGTGAGTCAGCGAGCGGTTGAGCGAGCGGTTGAGTGAGTCAGTGAGTGGTTGAGCGAGTGAGCGGTGGAGCGAGCGAGCGGTTGAGTGAGTCAGTGAGTGGTTGAGCGAGTGAGCGGTGGAGCAAGCGAGCGGTTGAGCGAGTCAGTGAGTGGTTGAGCGAGTGAGCGGTGGAGCGAGCGGTGGAGCAAGCAGTTGAGTGAGTCAGCGAGCGGTTGAGCGAGCGGTTGAGTGAGTCAGTGAGTGGTTGAGCGAGTGAGCGGTGGAGCGAGCGAGCGGTTGAGCGAGTCGGTGAGCGGTTGAGCGAGTGAGTGGTTGAGCGAGCGAGCGGTGGAGCAAGCGGTGGAGCGAGCGAGCGGTGCTCCCCACCTGCTCGACCCCGTCGGGACCCTGGTAGGAGAGGACGTATCCCGTGACGGCGCCGACTGGCGGGGTCCACGTGAGGAGTGCGCCCTGGGTGTCGATCTCCGTGGCCGTCAGGTCCCGAGGGGGGTCCAGGCCTGGCGGGGCGCGTTCGGTTCGTTAGCGCGTTCCCACGCGTGTGTGTTAGTGTGTGTGTGTTAGTGTGTGTGTGTTAGTATGTGTGTGTTAGTGTGTGTGTAAGTGTGTGTGTGTTAGTGTGTGTGTGTTAGTGTGTGTTAGTGTGTGTGTTAGTGTGTGTGTGTTACTGTGTTAGTGTGTGTGTGTTAGTGTGTGTGTTAGTGTGTGTGTGTGTGTTTGTGTTAGTGTGTGTGTTAGTGTGTGTGTGTTAGTGTGTGTTAGTGTGTGTGTTAGTGTGTGTGTGTTAGTGTGTGTGTGTTAGTGTGTCTGTTAGTGTGTGTGTTAGTGTGTGTGTGTTAGTGTGTGTGTTAGTGTGTGTGTTAGTGTGTGTGTGTGTTAGTGTGTGTTAGTGTGTGTGTTAGTGTGTGTGTTAGTGTGTGTGTTAGTGTGTGTGTGTGTTAGTGTGTGTGTGTGTTAGTGTGTGTTTTAGTGTGTGTGTTAGTGTGTGTGTGTGTTAGTGTGTGTGTTAGTGTGTGTGTGTGTGTGTTAGTGTGTGTGTTAGTGTGTGTGTGTGGACGTGTGTGTTAGTGTGTGTTAGTGTGTGTGTGTTAGTGTGTGTTAGTGTGTGTTAGTGTGTGTTTTAGTGTGTGTGTTAGTGTGTGTTAGTGTGTGTGTGTTAGTGTGTGTGTGTGTTAGTGTGTGTGTGTTAGTGTGTGTGTGTTAGTGTGTGTGTGTTAGTGTGTGTTAGTGTGTGTTAGTGTGTGTTAGTGTGTGTTTGTGTGTGTGTGTGTTAGTGTGTGTGTGTTAGTGTGTGTGTGTGTTAGTGTGTGTGTGTTAGTGTGTGTGTGTTAGTGTGTGTGTGTGTGTTAGTGTGTGTTAGTGTGTGTGTGTGTGTTAGTGTTAGTGTGTGTGTTAGTGTGTGTGTGTTAGTGTGTGTGTTAGTGTGTGTGTGTTAGTGTGTGTGTTGTGTGTGTGTGTGTTAGTGTGTGTGTGTTAGTGTGTGTGTTAGTGTGTGTGTGTTAGTGTGTGTGTTAGTGTGTGTGTGTTAGTGTGTGTGTTAGTGTGTGTGTGTTAGTGTGTGTGTGTTAGTGTGTGTGTTAGTGTGTGTGTTAGTGTGTGTGTGTTAGTGTGTGTGTTAGTGTGTGTGTGTTAGTGTGTGTGTGTGTTAGTGTGTGTGTTAGTGTGTGTGTTAGTGTGTGTGTTAGTGTGTTGTGGGGAGCGATAGTGTAGCGGTTAGCGCGCTGCGCTATGAACCTGGCGACCGGGGTTCGATTCCCGCTCACGGCCAACACCAGTGACGATTATCTGAACCGGTCCCGGGCCTCCCCTAGGTCGACTCAGCCTCAAATGAGTACCTGGTGCGGTGTGTAAACATTGCCACTAGGGAGACAAAGGCGGTCGGGCGTGGTGCTGGCCACCCACCCCCTCGTGTACCGTTCCGGCCTTCATAGGTGCTCGCTAACAGCACTTGCCCCTACAGTCTGTTAAGGCTATATGGGGGATCTTTGTCTTTGTCTTTGTTAGTGTGTGTGTGTTAGTGTGTGTGTGTTTGTGTGTGTGTGTTAGTGTGTGTTAGTGCGTTAGTGTTAGTGTGTTAGTGTGTGTGTGTTAGTGTGTGTGTGTTAGTGTGTGTGTGTTAGTATGTGTGTGTTAGTGTGTGTGTGTGTTAGTGTGTGTTAGTGTGTGTGTTAGTGTGTGTTAGTGTGTGTGTGTTAGTGTGTGTGTGTTAGTGTGTGTGTGTTAGTGTGTGTGTGTGTGTTAGTGTGTGTGTTAGTGTGTGTGTTAGTGTGTGTGTGTGTGTTAGTGTGTGTGTGTTAGTGTGTGTGTTAGTGTGTGTGTGTTTGTGTGTGTGTGATAGTGTGTGTGTTAGTGTGTGTGTGTGTTTGTGTGTGTGTGATAGTGTGTGTGTTAGTGTGTGTGTTAGTGTGTGTGTGTTAGTGTGTGTGTTAGTGTGTGTTAGTGTGTGTGTTAGTGTGTGTGTGTTAGTGTGTGTGTGTTAGTGTGTGTGTGTGTTAGTGTGTGTGTGTTAGTGTGTGTGTTAGTGTGTGTGTGTTAGTGTGTGTTAGTGTGTGTGTGTTAGTGTGTGTTAGTGCGTTAGTGTTAGTGTGTTAGTGTGTGTTAGTGTGTGTTAGTGTGTGTGTGTGTGTTAGTGTGTGGGGAGCGATAGTGTAGCGGTTAGCGCGCTGCGCTATGAACCTGGCGACCCGGGTTCGATTCCCGCTCACGGCCAACACCAGTGACGATTATCTGAACCGGTACCGGGCCTCCCCTAGGTCGACTCAGCCTCAAATGAGCACCTGGTGCGGTGTGTAAACATTGCCACTAGGGAGACAAAGGCGGTCGGGCGTGGTGCTGGCCACCCACCCCCTCGTGTACCGTTCCGGCCTTCATAGGTGCTCGCTAACAGCACTTGCCCCTACAGTCTGTTAAGGCTATATGGGGGATCTTTGTCTTTGTCTTTGTGTGTTAGTGTGTGTGTGTTAGTGTGTGTGTGTTAGTGTGTGTGTGTTAGTGTGTGTGTGTTAGTGTGTGTGTGTGTTAGTGTGTGTGTTAGTGTGTGTGTTAGTGTGTGTTTGTGTGTGTTTGTGTGTGTGTGTTTGTGTGTGTGTGTTTGTGTGTGTGTGTTTGTGTGTGTGTGTTTGTGTGTGTGTGTTTGTGTGTGTGTTAGTGTGTGTGTTAGTGTGTGTGTGTTAGTGTGTGTGTGTTAGTGTGTGTGTTAGTGTGTGTGTGTGTGTGTTAGTGTGTTAGTGTGTGTGTGTGTTAGTGTGTGTTAGTGTGTGTGTGTTAGTGTGTGTGTGTGTGTTAGTGTGTGTGTGTGTTAGTGTGTGTGTGTTAGTGTGTGTGTGTTAGTGTGTGTGTTAGTGTGTGTGTGTTAGTGTGTGTGTGTTAGTGTGTGTGTGTTAGTGTGTGTGTGTTAGTGTGTGTGTGTTAGTGTGTGTGTGTGTTAGTGTGTGTGTGTTAGTGTGTGTGTGTTAGTGTGTGTTTGTGTGTGTGTGTGTGTGTTAGTGTGTGTGTGTTAGTGTGTGTGTGTGTTAGTGTGTGTTAGTGTGTGTGTTAGTGTGTGTGTGTGTTAGTGTGTGTGTGTGTTAGTGTGTGTGTCCACCACAGGGGCTAAACGGGGGCTCTGGATGGGTGCGAGGGGCTGGTAACCCCTCCACCTTCAATTAATTACCATGAAACCACGAATTAAACTGAAATATGTAGTGGAGAGTTTCCCATACCTGGGCAGTGTGCTTATGACTGGCTCCAGTTTAACAGCAGAGGTCTCACTCCGAATCAGTCGAGCGGCAATATCTTTTCATCGGTTGCGTAACGCTGTGTGGAAGCTACCTGGTCTGTCGCTCCGCACTAAACTTCAGGTCTTCTCGGCTACGGTCATTCCCTCCCTTCTCTACGCTTGCGAAACGTGGACCCCCCTAATGGAACATCTTCGCCGGTTAGAAACATTTAGGCTGGCCTGCCTACGATCCATCCTGGGTTTAACCAGACTGGATTGTGTGAGGAGCTCACAAATCCTTGATCTGGGCAAGGTCCCATCGGTGAGCTCCTCCGGCGGGGAAGGCTGCGATGGCTGGGTCATGTAGCCCGCATGCCCAGCCACCGCATGCCGAAACAGCTTTTGTTCGGCCGGATTGAGGGGGCTAAGCGGGCGCGGCACGGGCTAGAGAAGAGATGGAGTGATGTGGTACAGGAGGACGTGGAGCTGAGTGGACTTGCCGATGACTGGTACCAGCGGTGTCAAGATCGACCTCTGTGGAGGAGACTCGTGAAGGATGCTACTGGGCAGTTGGAGGCAGTCGCCCTCCAACAACAACAGAGGGCGGAGGAGCGACGCTCAGAACAACGAGCGGAGCGCCGGGTGGCTAAAGCACAGCAGGTTGGCACAGTAGGGGGCACAGGTGGTGCATCAGCCAGTCATCTCAGTCAGTCGACCCGTGGCACCTGGGTCTGCCCCGTGACCTCCTGCCAGCGGGCGTTCGACACTTCACGTGGCCTCAAGGTTTACATAGCCTGGCACAAGCGTCGTGGTGACGTCACCGCCACTTAGCGGCGAATTGCGGTTGTTGTTGTTGTGGTGTGTGTGCCGGCTCACCCGTGGTGAAGGAGGTGTGCGCGTCGCGACTCTGCTGGGCGCCCTTGACGGCGCGCAGGCGCACCGTGTAGAGCGTGATGGGGCGCAGGTCAGAGAGCCCGAACTCGTGCAGCGAGCCGGCCAGCTCGTTCATCACGTCCTCGCCTGCGGCACCACACAGCCTCTGTGGCACCCCCACCCACCCACCCCCACCCCCCACGGTGCACGGAGCACCGCGTGGTCCCGCCGTGTCTAACGAAGCGCGTCTAACCCCGTGTGTTCTCCCGCCGTGTCTAACCACGTGTGTTCTCCCGCCGTGTCTAACCACGTGTGTTCTCCCGCCGTGTCTAACCGCGTGCGTGTCCCGCTGTGTCTAACCGCGTGTGTTCTCCCGCTGTGTCTAACCACGTGCGTGTCCCGCTGTGTCTAACCGCGTGTGTTTTCCCGCCGTGTCTAACCACGTGTGTTCTCCCGCTGTGTCTAACCACGTGCGTGTCCCGCTGTGTCTAACCGCGTGTGTTCTCCCGCTGTGTCTAACCGCGTGTGTTCTCCCGCTGTGTCTAACCACGTGCGTGTCCCGCTGTGTCTAACCGCGTGTGTTTTCCCGCCGTGTCTAACCACGTGTGTTCTCCCGCCGTGTCTAACCGCGTGCGTGTCCCGCTGTGTCTAACCGCGTGTGTTCTCCCGCTGTGTCTAACCACGTGTGTTCTCCCACCGTGTCTAACCACGTGTGTTCTCCCGCTGTGTCTAACCACGTGTGTTCTCCCACCGTGTCTAACCGCGTGTGTTCTCCCGCTGTGTCTAACCACGTGTGTTCTCCCACCGTGTCTAACCACGTGTGTTCTCCAGCCGTGTCTAACCACGTGCGTGTCCCGCTGTGTCTAACCGCGTGTGTTCTCCCGCTGTGTCTAACCGCGTGCGTGTCCCGCTGTGTCTAACCGCGTGTGTTCTCCCGCTGTGTCTAACCACGTGTGTTCTCCCGCCGTGTCTAACCACGTGTGTTCTCCCGCCACGTCTAACCACGTGTGTTCTCCCGCCGTGTCTAACCACGTGTGTTCTCCCGCTGTGTCTAACCCCGTGTGTTCTCCTGCCGTGTCTAACCACGTGTGTTCTCCCGCTGTGTCTAACCACGTGTGTTCTCCCGCTGTGTCTAACCACGTGTGTTCTCCCGCCGTGTCTAACCGCGTGTGTTCTCCCGCTGTGTCTAACCACGTGCGTGTCCCGCTGTGTCTAACCGCGTGTGTTTTCCCACCGTGTCTAACCACGTGTGTTCTCCCGCTGTGTCTAACCGCGTGTGTTCTCCCGCTGTGTCTAACCGCGTGTGTTCTCCCGCTGTGTCTAACCACGTGCGTGTCCCGCTGTGTCTAACCGCGTGTGTTTTCCCGCCGTGTCTAACCACGTGTGTTCTCCCGCCGTGTCTAACCGCGTGCGTGTCCCGCTGTGTCTAACCGCGTGTGTTTTCCCGCCGTGTCTAACCACGTGTGTTCTCCCACCGTGTCTAACCACGTGTGTTCTCCAGCCGTGTCTAACCACGTGCGTGTCCCGCTGTGTCTAACCGCGTGTGTTCTCCCACTGTGTCTAACCGCGTGCGTGTCCCGCTGTGTCTAACCGCGTGTGTTCTCCCGCCGCGTCTAACCACGTGTGTTCTCCCGCCGTGTCTAACCACGTGTGTTCTCCCGCTGTGTCTAACCCCGTGTGTTCTCCTGCCGTGTCTAACCACGTGTGTTCTCCCGCTGTGTCTAACCACGTGTGTTCTCCCGCTGTGTCTAACCACGTGTGTTCTCCCGCCGTGTCTAACCACGTGTGTTCTCCCGCCGTGTCTAACCACGTGTGTTCTCCCGCTGTGTCTAACCCCGTGTGTTCTCCTGCCGTGTCTAACCGCGTGTGTTCTCCCGCTGTGTCTAACCACGTGTGTTCTCCCGCTGTGTCTAACCACGTGTGTTCTCCCGCTGTGTCTAACCACGTGTGTTCTCCCGCCGTGTCTAACCGTGCGTGTCCCGCCGTGTCTCACCGTGCGTGTCCCGCCGTGTCTAACCACGTGTGTGTCCCGCCGTGTCTAACCACGTGTGCGTGTCCCGCTGCGCGTAGCCATGCGCGTCTAACCACGTGCCGCGTCTCACCGTGCGTGTCCCGCTGTGTCTAACCACGTGTGTCTCACCGTGCGTGTCCCGCCGTGTCTCACCGTGCGTGTCCCGCCGTGTCTAACCACGCGCGTCTAACCACGTGCGTGTCGCGCCGCGTCTCACCGTCCTGGGGAGCGAAGACGATGATGTAGCTGTCGACGGGCCCCAGCGTGGCCTGCCAGCGCAGCAGCGCCGTCGAGTCGGTGACGTCCACGGCCGCCAGGCTGTGCGGAGCGTCAAGCTCTGCGGGCGCCACGGGGGAGGGAGCCGGCGGTGAGCCGGCGGTGAGCCCGGCGCACAGGGGGTGAGCCGGCGGTGAGCCGGAGCAGAGGGTAGAGAGAGAGAGAGCGCAGTGACCGTGTGACTGTGTGTGCGTGTGTTTGTGGGGAGCGGTAGTGTAGTGGTTAGCGCTACGCTGCGCTATGAACCTGGCGACTCGGGTTCGATTCCCGCTCACGGCCAACACCCAGTGACGATTATCTGAACCGGTCCCGGGCCTCCCCTAGGTCGACTCAGCCTCAAATGAGTACCTGGTGCAGTGTGTAAAACATCGCCACTAGGGAGACAAAGGCGGCCGGGCGTGGTGCTGGCCACCCACCTCCTCGTGTACCGATCCGGCCTTCATAGGTGCTGCGCGCTAACAGCACTTGCCCCTACAGTCTGTTAAGGCTATACGGGGGATCTTTGTCTTTTGTGTGGCCTCAAGGTGCACATGACCTGGCACAAGCGTCGTGGTGACGTCACCGCCACTTAGTGGCGAATGGCGGTTGTTGTGCTTTAATTTAAAGCTGTCGTGACTGCAGGGATTCATATTCCTGGTTCTTTCGGTAAAGGCGCGTGACTTTACCGAAAGAACCAAGAATATGGTTGTTGTGTTGGTTGTTGTGTTGTGTTCGGTAAAGTCACGTTACTTTACCGAAAGAACCAAGAATATAGTTGTTGTGTTGGTTGTTGCGTTGTGTTCGGTAATGGCACGTGACTTTACCGAAAGAACCAAGAATATAGTTGTTGTGTTGGTTGTTGCGTTGTGTTCGGTAAAGGCACGTGACTTTACCGAAAGAACCAAGAATATGGTTGTTGTGTTGGTTGTTGTGTTGTGGTCGGTAAAGTCACGTTACTTTACCGAAAGAACCAAGAATATGGTTGCTGTGTTGGTTGTTGCATTGTGTTCGGTAAAGGCACATTACTTTACCGAAAGAACCAAGAATATAGTTGTTGTGTTGGTTGTCGTGTTGTGTTCGGTAAAGGCACGTGACTTTACCGAAAGAACCAAGAATATGGTTGTTGTGTTGGTTGTTGTCGTGTTGTGTTTGGTAAAGTCACGTTACTTTACCGAAAGAACCAAGAATATAGTTGTTGTGTTGGTTGTGTTTGGTAAAGTCACGTTACTTTACCGAAAGAACCCAAGAATATAGTTGTTGTGTTGGTTGTGTTTGGTAAAGGCACGTGACTTTACCGAAAGAACCAAGAATACGGTTGCTGTGTTGGTTGTCGTCTTGTGTTCGGTAAAGGCACGTGACTTTACCGAAAGAACCAAGAATATGGTTGTTGTGTTGGTTGTTGCGTGTGACCGTGCGCGTGCCGTACCGGTGGTGACGGTGCCGGAGATGGGCTCGCTCTCGCGCACCCCCTGCACCGTGGTGACGCTCACTTCGTACTCGGTGCCGGGGATGAGGGACACGAGCGTCTCGGCGCTCACCCCGCCCGGCACGCTCACCACCTCCTGCTCACCTACAGCGACCGCCACAGCCACCCACGTGAGTGTGCGTGCGTGTACACGCGCGTGCGTGCGTGCGTGCGCACGTGTACGTGTGTGTGTGCGTGCGTGCGCGTGTACGTGTGTGTGTGTGCGTGAGTGCCTGTGTGTGTGCGCGTACGTGTGTGTGTGCGTGCCTGCGCGTGTAGGTGTGTGTGTGTGCGTGCCTGTGTGTGTGCGCGTACGTGCGTGTGTGCGCGTGTGTGCGCGGTAAAAACATCCCCCTACCACCGGACGGCAACGCTGTGGTGGGCAGTGCTGTGGGCGGAGGGCCAATTCCGATTGGCCTTTCCCCTCGTGGCGTTTGTAACCACCACAGCGGTCAAATGGGGGCTCTGGATGGGTGCAAGCAGCTGGTAACCCCTCCACCTTCAATTAACTACCACCAAACTTGTGCCGGAGGCCCCGGAAGGACGGGCGTCTATGACGTCTCCTGGTCAAACCCTATTTGGCAAAGCCAGGAGACTGAATCCATACCCTCGGGGCTCCTCCAGAAACAACAAAAAACCACCACAGGTGGCCACGTGGAATGTTCGAACGCTAACTGTGGAGGAGAGGCTGCCACTCCTCTGTCGGGAGCTGGACAGGTACCGCCTGGATCTCTGTGGCATTCAGGAGGTCCGGTGGACCGGCTCTGGCTCCTGCCACCATGAGGGGTGGACAGTCCTCTACTCGGGGCAGTAGACTGCCAAACAACAGGAAGTGGCTCTTCTTCTGAACAAAAGAATGAAGGGGGCATGGGAGTGTGGCGGTGAGGCGTGGGAAGCTGTAAGCCCCAGGCTACTTTGGCCATCAACCGGAGGCGAGGAGTGGTGGTCGTGGTTACTTATGCCCCCACGGAAGACGAACATCCGTGGAAGGATGCAGGCAAGGCCGATGGTGACATCACCTCCACTTAGTGGTGAATGGCGGTTGTTGTTGTGTGTGCGTGTGTGTGTGCGTGTGCGTGTGTGCGCGTACCTCCGTCGACGGGCACGTAGGTGATCTTGAAGGCGTCGGGCCTCCCCGTGGGAGCGAGCCACGTGACCACCACCGTGGTCTCCGTCACGTCCTGGAAGCC